TCATTCCTCCTAGAGACCACCGCAAATGTAGTGATTAATCGAGTAAACCACCCCTTTAATATCCATGACATATAACATTTACAAGACTGTATTGAATAGAATTTGCATTAAACAATGGAACAGTTTAGAGATGTTTTAGGCTCCCATGGGTCTACTTTTGCCTTGACCCTGATGTGATTAGTGTGTTAAGCTGACAAAACTAATCTATATTTCTCCAAACTAAGATTGCTGAAAGAGCTGTCTGCGGCAGGCGAGATGCTGCCTCTCTAAATACAAAAACAAAGAGAAGTCATTACCACAGATCATCTTATTGTTGTTTTAATGTTTTATTCAGACTACCTACGTGGAAGAGAGAGAAAGGAAGCAACAGAAAAATGTTCTCTGCTGTAGATCAAGAGGATTAAAAATGGATTACCTGTTATTTTCTGTGTTGCCTTGCGTGTCTCAGTGCAGCCACGGCACATTTAAACGTTTCTTCAGCAAACCAGTCGGAGAAATTTGATTCACAATAAAAAGGAAACGTGAGACTTTTACACAAAGTCTATAATTATGTTTAAAGAAAGTACAGTTCATCTTTAACAGTTGACCTTACGCTAGAGAAATTTGTGCTTACCTAGAGGAGTTTAATATAGAAACAGGAGATGCATCCTGATGGAGAAAATGTTTAAATAATAGATGAACTCCTGGCTGCTTTCATGAGGGGATCATGGTTTTGTCTGTGATGAGATTGTACTGCATTTGCTAGAGTTTTAAAAGTCAACGTCTTTTCTAAACTCCTCAAAAGATGTACTTTTAGATGAATTTGAACAGTTCATACATGCTGACTAAAAACCAGAGGAAACGCCCACTAAAACCGATCTGACATGGCTCACAGCTTCATCAGCTGTGTGTCTCAGGAGGATTTTCACCACCATTAATCTGGGAGACCCCAGCAGGGTGAAAGTTGCCTGAGCTGGTTTTCAGTGGCTGCAGCAGGAGGAGGAGGAGGAGGAGGAGACGGCGGCTGGAGGAAGTGACATGGCCCGGGACGGAGCGAGTGGGAGGGGAGAGTTTAGGGATTTGCATGGCTCGACAGCTGGACTGAAAAACAGGCTATTTCAGGACGGGATTTGTACGTTTGGTTGCTACCTCAAATCCTGAGAGAGCGGAAGCTTAAAGCGATGGTTATTGCGTGATGTTCTATCGGTGTCTTTAATCTCTCTTTTTTTTCCTCCACTGAAATATTGTCAGCAAACCAATGGAACGCTTTTCTTTGCCATGATGTGGAATTTATCCAGCATTTTATTATATTCATAATTATTTTTCATTTAAAACTTAAACTGAAAATAAAAACCCATTTTTAATATCTGTCTTTAAGAACAACTGTGCATATCATTGTATAATCACTTGAATCTCATGATATTTTATAACTGTTTTATTGTGATTTATTATTGAATATAATTTAAAACAATTATCTTGTCTTATTTTGTTTGTAAATTGTCTAAGTTTGCAAAACAATAAAAATGTTACTATCAAACTCGCCCCTAATCTGTCATTTTTATCTTTTTAAATATAAAAATAAAAGATTACTTTAATCAGAAAGAAAAGGTTTAGCAGTCTAATCTCCAGGGTAAATTTATTCGTCCTTCCACTCAGGTTATTCCACTCAGATGACGATGTTACAACTGTCAAGACTGCGTGGAATTCCATTTTTTAAAACTTTCACGTTAAATAAATTTAAGCGAATTATACTTAAAATAATAATTATTATCATAAAGTTTTTTTCAGAAAATGGAAGAAGTTAGACATAGATAGATAGATAGATAGATAGATAGATAGATAGATAGATAGATAGATAGATAGATAGATAGATAGATGATAGATGATAGATAGATAGATAGATAGATAGATAGATAGATAGATAGATAGATAGATAGATAGATAGATGGATAGATAGATAGATAGATAGATAGATAGATGATAGATAGATAGATGATAGATAGATAGATAGATAGATAGATAGATAGATAGATAGATAGATAGATAGATAGATAGATAGATAGATAGATGATAGATAGATAGATAGATGATAGATAGATAGATAGATGATAGATAGATAGATAGATAGGCTCACTCTCATCCAGCTATCAGCAACCCACGTAATTATTACGTAATCGGACTTCCTTCTACTCTGAACCATCGCTTTAAGCTGAAAAAGATCCAAATAAAACATAAATTCCTCCAGTCAGACACTTTCGCCACCTCCAGATCCATTTTAACCTCTTTTGGCGGTGCCAGCTGTGCGTAAAACCAGATTTTTGCTTCCCTCTGCGTCCTCTTTTAGACGTAACGACCTTCAGTCCTAAATAAAACAAAAATTCGAACTTGTTCCACAGTTTTAAAGTTGGTTTGGAGGAGAGACATGACATAAACTCAGAGCAGGACGTATTTGAGTCGTGCCAGGAGGAAACCGCGCTCCGCTGGCACAAATCAGAGGAATTCGACAGGAACTCTTGCCTACCTGTGAATTTTCCCCAGAGTTTTGCCGGCGACAGCCTTGAACCTGTCTGGTCGGATCTCCATCCTTGCAGCTCCTTGACCCGGCCGGTGTGCTGATGTCCCACGCGCACTCCTGTTCTGAGCGCGCGCTCCTCGCTCGCTCTCTCTCTCTCTCAGGCTTCCTTGTGTCTCTGCCTCTCCCATCCCTCCCTACACGCAAACCCACTCACATGGACGGTCGCGCTGGTTTCTTACAAACTTTGGTCTCCTCATAAATATAGTTTAAATAGGTCTCTTAGCTTTGTTTCCTGTGTTGTTGTCACCTTTTAGGAAAACACATGCATGATAACTTAGTTTTTATTAAAGATGAACACAATTTCAAGTCCTATTCTTAGATTATAAGTCTTCTCTTGGTCCTTAAAGGGGACATGTTATACAAAGATCACCTTTTGCATCATTTTGTGGAGGTCTCTACCATTGACTGTAGGCATTTTATATAATGTAAGGACCCTCCTGCAGGTTTCTGAAGAGCTGCCCAATTGGCTTAGAGTTGTTCTGATGGTAAACTTAACCTAGTAACCCCCCCCCCCCCCCCCCCCCCCCCCAGTTTTTGAACCAGGTTGTCGTCGTCGTCTTCCTCCGCTTTTCCGGGTCCGGGTCGCGGGGGCAGCATCCCAACTAGGGAGCTCCAGACCGTCTTCTCCCCAGCCACCTCCACCAGCTCCTCCGGCAGGACCCCAAGGCGTTCCCGGACCAGATTGGAGATGTAACCTCTCCAACGTGTCCTGGGTCGACCCGGGAGCCTCCTGCCCAAACCACCTCAACTGACTCCTTTCGATCCGGAGGAGCAGCGGTTCTACTCAGAGTCCCTCCCGAATGGTCGAGCTCCTCACACTATCTCTAAGGCTGAGCCCGGCCACCCTACGGAGGAAACTCATTTCGGCCACTTGTATCCGTGATCTCGTTCTTTCGGTCGTTACCCAAAGCTCATGACCATAGGTGAGGATTGGGACGTAGATCGACCGATAAATCGAGAGCCTGGCTTTCTGGCTCAGCTCTCTCTTCACCACGACAGATCGGCTCAGCGTCCGCATCACTGCAGACGCCGAACCAATCCGCCTGTCGATCTCCCGATTCCTCCTACCCTCACTCGTGAACAAGACCCCGAGATACTTAAACTCCTCCAGTTGAGGTAGGACCTCCGTTGAACGAGGTTGTAAATATTTTTTATTTCTTTTGTGAAGTTAGCATTCTTAACATGGGAGCCAATAGGAACCTACTCCTTTCTTGAGCCAGCACCTAGTTGTAACGTCCAGAAAGGGTCATTTTTCACCTATATATTGACCGACATCATCTGCATGTATAAGCCCACTAACTGGGTGGATTTTCTCTCCTGTCTCCTAAAGTCCAGGCCTCTCACAGTGCTTGGCACACAAGATAACATACGGTCAACAAACTGTTCTTTCCAAGGCCTCGGCTTTCCCCCTTACCGCTTCCACAGGAGTTCACACATTTCACATAAAAAGTGAACTTTTACAGCTCATATGTTTAAAGAATCATATGGCCGAATGAACCGGATGTTATCTGAGCAATAATATTATTAATGTTTGGATAATCTGTGCCTAATTCAGTGAAGTTGAATATTATTATCACAATGATCCATTTACATAATTTGATCAGTACTGTTTGATTTAACAAGTTATTCTCTACCTGCACTCATACACAATGTTCATAAGAAATAAATTACGGTTAACGTCACATCACATAAAGTTTAAAGATTCTTTAGCCACAGAAGAAGAACTTTTTGTATCTGATGAAGGTATGGTTTCTGAGGGATGTTTGGTAAGAGCCTGCAACATGTCAAATTCTGATTCGCAGAAATGATCAACTCTAGATCAATAAAACTAGGAGGACTTCCCGATTAACTGAGTTTCCAGCTGACACCTCGATTCGGCCAAATCGGGAAAGAAGCCTTTTTGAAACAACATCTCTTTGACCTTAAGTAAAAACCTTGCCACAGAGCTGCAAATGATTACAGACACAACAGAGCGTTCCAGAGCTACTCCTCTTGGATGCCCATTCTGCAGACCCCGGGTTGTGTCTCATGGCCGGGGAAGTTGAACTCAGAGGAAGCTACTAATCTCTGAGGATCGTGGTCTCGACGTCCGGTGACCTCACCACTCTGACCGCAAACCTCCGGAAACGCCGGGAGCAACTCACACCAGGGTGTGGTCGGCCTGCATACTGGTGTCTGATGTTGTTTTATGAATAATCAACTCTCTAGCTTACAGCAGACCACAACATTCTCTACACCCAGAATTCGCAATCTCTTTCAGATACAAGGGTTCTGATAAACATCTACTTCACATTCCATTCACAGTACACCCATCACACATCATTATTCATAGTTGTCATGTCTATAATTAGTCTAGAAAATAAAGTTTATTTTTAATTATATACCTGACTCTGAATTAATACGAAGTGTGTTTATGGTCCCTTAAATAAGCAAAGAATCCTAAATTCTTCTGGTTAAACATTCAAAGATCAAACAGGAGGGACCTGCAATTTTTGTCACTTCCAGAGGTTACACCTTGGTCTCTACTGTCAGGATCCAGCAGGTGGAGTGGTCCCTCTCTTTTTCCAGGTGTGGTCCCAGCTGGAGCCAACTACCTCATCAAGGCAGCAGTATTTAGGAGGAGTGGAGCCACCAGACGGGCGTCAGCTGATTCCGTTAATGGAGTGGTAAACTGACCACAGCCTCTCTAGTTGTGCTTCCCTTGGTGTCAAGTACTCACCTGTGATTCCCCCTGTTCCTCGCAGCAATCTCCTTTACGTCTTTGATAGACTCAGGAAGTTCCTCGTCAGTTCATACATCCAAGTTCTCCTCTCCAGGTCTTCACTGTTTGGACGTCTGTCTCCCCGTGCGTGGCCGCTCCTCTCTCCGCCGCTGCAAAAGCCTCAGCACTGGATTCTGCCAAGCCGCCCAGCTCTCCTGTGGAACGAGCACACTACTAAACCACCGCGCAGCTCTCACAACCTTCAACCATCCTGAATACTCATCTCTCCCTCAGGATCGGTCCCTCCACAGCTCCAGTGAGTTATCCATTCAAATTAATCCTGCTAAAGAACTCTCAGTTTGTTTCTACACATACTCACCATTCCTACCTTTTCCAGCGACGATCCTCCTCGAATCCTCGCTTCCTCTGATCCAGAAGACAATAAACTGTTTTAAGAAAAAGTTGGTTCTGAGTCCGAGTGTGCTGTGTCTGCTTCAGAGTCACTCATCCCGAATCATGACATCTACTGACTATACAAACTTCAAACATGAAAAACATTTGCTCATCAGTTTTTTGTCAGTGTTTGGTTTTACGATTTATGTACCTAAAACAAGCCATTTGAAAACGTCCCCTTTTGTGACATACAAACAAGGAAATAAGAATGAAACAACCCCCCACATGCAGGAGAACTGCTGCAGCGGCTCTAATCTGAACCCCTCCCAGATATTGAAACTTCTTAGCTTATAGCAGCCTGAGCGGGAGATGGGTAGGCGTGGCCAGCTCCAGATTCTTAAATGGACTGAGCCCTGACACGGCTCATTCTGGAAGGTACTGAAACTGTTAAAAAGGAAACTGCTAAAATGCCTTTATGTGAGACAGATTTTGTTCATGTTTAGTCAAGTTAAAGTCCCATCAGTCATCACACACACCATTGTGTGATGACATTACATCTCTGCATTTGACCCATCCCCATCGGGAGCCGTGAGCTGCTGACATGCCCGTGCTTGGGAACTAATTGAACTCCTAATTGCTGAGTGTCAAGTGAGGAGGGATTGGGTCCCATTTTTTAAAAGTCTTTGGTATGACTTGACTGTGGATTTGAACCCAGAACCTCCCAGAAAACCCATACATGTACAGTATGTTGAGAACATGCTAACTCCACATAGGCCACAGATGGGATTCAAACCTGCAACCTTTCTGCTGTCAGACTACAGTGCTACACATTGCTCTACCAGATGGAAAATGAACTCAGAAATGGTGCCTGTTTGAAGTATTTTCTCATTTTAATAGAAGATTGAACACTTGAGTTAATATTAATTCTAATAATAATAAATTTTATTTATGATGCGCTTTACATTACAGAAGTAATCTCAAAAGTGCTACAGAGTATAGGGGACAGGTATAAGGTACGCAGCTAGTTAAAAACACAGTTAAACTTTCAGGATACTATCAAGTATGGAAAATAAAAACAGTCCCCAGAAATAGATAAAACCCATCTAAAAAGTCATTACAGTAGATGCAAATAATAAGTAAAAACTAAACAATAAAGTAAAACACACAATAGGCCACTGTGCACTGGGGGCAGCAGTAACTCAACAGGTTGAGCGGGTTGTCCAGTAATTGGAAGGTTGCAGGTTCGATCCCGGCTCCGGACAGAGAATTCTGCTGTTGTGTCCTTGGGCAAGACACTTAACCCACTTTGCCTGCTGGTGGTGGTCAGAGGGACCGGTGGCGCCTGTGCTCGGCAGCATCGCCTCTGTCAGTGCGCCCCAGGGCAGCTGTGGCTACACCGTAGCTCATCCCCACCAGTGTGTGAGAATGGATGAATGATGCACTGTAGTGTAAAGCGTTTTGGAGTCCTTACTCTGAGAGGCGCTATACAAGTGCGGGTCATTTATCATTTAGAAAGCCTTATTAAACAAAAAGGTCTTGAGACCTTTTATGAAAACCTCCACAGACCATGTGGCCCTTCATTTTCATGAATTTCAATCTCTTTGCTGAGTTCTCAGCTCTCAGAAGTAAAGTCTCAAACTAAGAATTAAAAATCAGATCAACTTCACAAAAACACCTTCTGATGTAATCTATTACATTACTAAAGAAAAGTATTTTTTAGAGTGCTTGGATGATAAAGAAGCAGGCTCAGACTGATAGCATGTCAACATTTATTCAAGCTGCACTCGTAAACAGTACAACACTATTACAATGAAAAGGTATTGGTATTGTCTCAGTTCAATTTTTTCAAAAATAAAACAACTATCACTATTTCAGCTATCACATTTTTAAAAACACGTTAAAACTAAACTGATTTAAATAAGTTACAGAAATAAAATCATGACACAGTCTCTGCCCATGAACACAACGTGTTAAAGCTATGCAGCATGAGCTGTAACTAATACCACTGTTTCAGCTGTACACAAGGTTCATGTGTGCAACCTGTTTGGCTCAGCAGGAAGTCTTCATGCCGGAAGAACAGAGGATGTAACACTGCTTTATCTACCTTAACCATGTGCGTTAACCAGGCACAACTGAGTAAAACTCTATGATAAACCATCAAAGTGACCCGATTGGTTTATAACCAACGCTGTGCATGACAGCTCCACCAATCCACTCAAACCTCAAAACACACACACACACACACACACACACACACACACACACACACACACACACACACACACACACACACACACACACACACACACACACCCATCACAGTTTCTCAAAGTAAAATATTTCATCCAAATGAACGTTTTCAGCTAAAAAATTCTCCTCAGGTTTCACAGTTCATCAGCCGTTACATTATGACCCCCACATGGAGTCAAATCAGTCAAACCTGATGTTGGTGGTTGGATGTTTTTCTGCCTTACATTATTTCTGCTCAATCTTGCTTGTATTTTAATGCACTTGTAGGTATTTTACTTCATGTTCCACCGGTACATAGTTGAGTTTGGCGTGTCAACATTGGACTTGTTGCATGTAAAATACATCATTCAGATGGTTCTGTTACTTTAGTCCAAGCCTTCTTTCTGTTTTTTCCCTTTTAGGTCCAAAATTTTGTTTGCACAAGGAGCAAGCTCAAACTCCTGTATCCTGCTCTTCCTCCTCTTCCTCTTCCCCCTGCTGGGACAGGAGCTGGTAGTGTTCGTTGCCCACTGGCAGGAAGACTGCCCGGGAGCGAACCCCGTCTTCCTCTACCAAGGGTTGATGGGAATTGGGATCCAGCTGGTCAGTGGAGCTGCACTTGGTATACAGCTCACGGTGCACCTCCGCGCCGGGTCCCTCCTGGGGAGGGGCGCCAGGTGCCCAGTGGTGTCTCAGCATGGTGTGGATGTAACCCACAGGTACGGGCAAGCTGGCAAAGACTATGAGCAAGATGATCATAACCAGGGCCCAGTCTGGGTACTCAAGAGTCATCTCAGAGCCCTGAAGGGAGCAAAAACGTGATCACATGACATTAGGGAGCAAAGTAGGACAAAAAATAAAGCTTCAGGAAGTACAGAGAAGCTGGAAGCGCTATTAACGTGTGTAATAAAAGTGCAGAATGTGAAAATTGAAGCCAAAGGACACCAAAACACCCCCTAGTGGCTGGCTGCAGAATGAGCTTTAAGTCCCACCCACTCTGTTTTAACAAAGATATGCTTTTTCTTACAAAAAATAAAAACACCAGTTTTTCTAGTTTTGTGCCAGTTGTTGACTCTGTTGATTCACATCGATCTATCCTGCAGTAACATTTTGATATATTCAGTTTTCAAATATGTTTAGTTGTACTGTTATCCAACGCATAAAACAACAACTTGATCTCACATACTGAGTACACCGACCCTGGCTCTAAAACAAAAGACAGCTTCACTTCTGATTAACAAAAACAGCTGGAGAACTATATGTTAATGGTCAATCGGAGGGTTTTGACACCATAAGGCCCAGTTCACGCCATAAAATGATTTAGCTGATTTTTTACCTGATTCTCCCATTCTGACAATCTTAAAGATGCACCTGATTACTGTAATTTCTGTAAATGTAAACTTATCAGATATTCCTGCTGGGTGTGGTGTGTTCAGAGTGCTTTGGTGTGCTTGGAAGCCCGTTGTTGGCTCCTCTCCCTACATGTTTGTTTACTCCAAAGTCACGTTTGATCTTGAAAGGTTTTGCGAGATTTCCAGCCTGACTGGGGATATTTGTGAGTGAAAAATGGCAGACCACACACTGTAGGACCAAAACTGTTAAATCCATCTTTTTTCATGTGGTCTTTCATGTTTTGAAACTTGTCCAACAGTTTTTAAATTCTGCCGCGTGACCTTACGATAAATAGAACCAATTCTGTCTTTTCCCAAAACAAATCAAATTTGAAACTTTTATCAAATATTAGGCTGAGTGGACATACAAATTAAACTGATTTCTTGGATATATAATTCCTTTAAGAAAACAAAAACATTAATTACTTTGTATTAGGGATGCACAATATATCGGCATCAATATCAATATCACCCCAAATTAGTCCTTTTTCAAAATATCGGTATCGGTCCGATAAATAAAACTGGGCAGACATTATCAGCAGATATTTTTTTCCATCTTGCGTCCATTTGTTTATCTGTTCAGAGGGGGGGTGGGGTGTTTGTTTAGTCATATGACAGTGACTGTAATCATCTCAGAAGTGTAAATGTGTGTGTGTGTGTGTGTGTGTGTGTGTGTGTGTGTATGTATAATATAAATTCAGCTTTAATAATTTTCATTCTATACAAAATCTGCAGAGTTTAGAAGCATTAATGTCAGTATATCGGTATCGACAAATATCGGTTATCGGCCATAACAGAGAGAAGAAAGAGAGAGAAAACTTTCCTTTATCTCCTCTCAGCATCTTGCTTCATTCGATTTAAATTGTATGGAGGATCAGAAAAAGATCACACTATCTTGATACCAGAATAAACTATTAGCATCGATTTTCTTACAGTGATTTCACTCATAAAGTTGCATAAAATTGAACAAAAAACCCAGCTAAACTTAGCCTATATTTTGTGCTTATGTGATATGCATTTCACTTCCTACAAAGGGCCACTGCAGAACCGCATGAGGCTCTAGAGCCACAAACTACAGACGCCTGAGTCAAGTTCACTTATATTACAAGAGAAAAATTATTATCACGAGGAATAACAATAATGATTTCGTCCTGGCCGTGGAACTGTGGACCAGCTCTATACCCTTGCAAGGGTGATGGAGGGGGCATGGGAGTTTGTCCAACCAATCCACATGTGTTTTGTGGATTTGGAGAAGGCTTATGACCGTGTCCCCAGGGGCACCCTGTGGGGGACGCTCCAGGAGTATGGGGTGGGTGGCTTTCTGTTAAGGGCCATTCAGTCCCTTTACCAGAGGAGCGTGAGTTTGGTCCGCATAGCCGGTAGTAAGTCGGACCTGTTCCCAGTGAGGGTTGGACTCCGCCAGGGCTGCCCTTTGTCACCGGTTCTGTTCATCACTTTTATGGACAGAATTTCTAGACGCAGCCGTGGTGTGGAGTGTGTCGAGTTTGGTGGCAGGAGAATCTCGTCTCTGCTTTTTGCGGATGATGTGGTCCTCCTAGCTTCATCCAGCTCCGACCTTCAGCTCTTGCTGGGTAGGTTCGCGGCCGAGTGTGAAGCGGCTGGGATGAGGATCAGCACCTCCAAATCTGAGACCATGGTTCTCGACCGGGAAAGGGTGGCTTGCCAACTCCGGGTCGGGGGAGTGGTCCTACCTCAAGTGGAGTAGTTTAAGTATCTCGGGGTCTTGTTCACGAGTGAGGGTAGGAGGGATCGGGAGATCGACAGGCGGATTGGTTCGGCGTCTGCAGTGATGCGGACGCTGAGCCGATCTGTCGTGGGGAAGAGGGAGCTGAGCCAGAAAGCCAGGCTCTCGATTTACCGGTCGATCTACGTCCCAATCCTCACCTATGCTCATGAGCTTTGGGTAATGACCGAAAGAACGAGATCGCGGATACAAGCGGCCGAAATGAGTTTCCTCCATAGGGTGGCCGGGCTCAGCCTTAGAGATAGGGTGAGGAGCTCGGACATTCGGGAGGGACTCGGAGTAGAACCGCTGCTCCTCCGGATCGAAAGGAGCCAGTTGAGGTGGTTTGGGCATCTGGTCAGGATGCCTCCTGGACGCCTCCCCGGGGAGGTGTTTCGGGCATGTCCTGCCGGCAGAAGGCCCCCGGGGCGACCCAGGACACGTTGGAGAGGTTACATCTCCAATCTGGTCCGGGAACGCCTTGGGGTCCTGCCGGAGGAGCTGGTGGAGGTGGTTGGGGAGAGGACGGCCTGGAGCTCCCTAGTTGGGATGCTGCCCCCGCGACCCGGACCCGGATAAGCGGAGGAAGACGACGACGACGATTTTGTCTAAGTGAATATGCATATATCTATTCTAATTAAGAACTCCTTTGGGCACAAATATCTTCTAAGTTTAAACACTGTGATGTTTACATATGAGACCTAAACCTGTGAAGCACAGCAAGCTCTCTTGACTTCCAAACTGACAATAACAACCAATCTTACTTTTGTTTGATTCCAGGCGGTGTACGTGGGCCCCTTGAAGACCATCCGAAGCAGGCTGGCAGCCAGAAGGCCGAGCATAGCCAGCAAACACACATACTTCCACAGATATTTGTACACCACCGGGGGGCGCCATTTGAGCATGGCTTCAATATCATCCAGAAAGCTGCAGGAATGGCAGAAATTGCCAAAAGGAATGCATCTTATTAAAATGTGAACATAAAAGGATGCGAACATTAAAAAAATGATGACGTTCCAGTGACGGACTTCACCTACCGGTCGGTGCCATAAACCCACGCCACACTGATGGTTTCAAAAACAACGACAATCACTAACGGTAGAGTGGCTGAATAGTCGTCAAACATTGTCACAAAATAGTTTCCAGAACGCTGGGTGAATAGTATTCCGATTACAAACCCCAATAAACAGCTGCACACTGAAAAAAAAACAAAACAAGGTACAATAAAAGTTATATGTTAATTTAAAAGAAATTCACCACATGCAACACATTATTTTTTGCTTCTATATTTAATATTTGAACCTTTGGTGTCTTTATTCTAACTTTAGTCACACAAACACAAACTTCAGTTGGATTTTCTTCTGTTGTTTACAATCAGAAACAATCAATGCAAAAATGTACATTTTCCCCATAAATTTTGGTTTTCAAGAATGAGCAAGGGATTATCTGCTACATGAATAAAAAGGGAAAACACTAGCTTTTAGTACCAGTGAGCAGGGTCCGGTGACGGCCCAAGAAGCTAAAGTTGTCCATGAGAGGCGTGAGGATTCCCTGCATGGTCCCAAACATTGTGCTGAGGCCCAGGTTGAGCAGCATCAGGAAGAACAGCGTGGACCAGAAGGGGCTGGCTGGAAAAAGAGCCATGACTTCAGTGAAGGCTATGAAGGCCAGGCCCGTCCCTTCAACACCCTGCACAAACACACACACACACACACACACACACACACACACACACACACACACACACACACACACACACACACACACACACACACACACACACACACACACACACACACACACACACACACACACACACACATTCAGGATACTGTGAAAATAGGTATATGTTCTCAATGTTCATATTATATTGCTGCAGCTCAGGTTTTGAGACTTTGGGTCATCCGATAACCTAAACATGTATTGTAGCTCATTCTCAGATTCTTTAGCTTCTCCTTTCCTCCCACGGTCACAGCTTGCTTCCATTTCTCCTGGAGATTCTAGATACAGTGTCCCCTTTGTTTTCATTCTCCTGTCTGCTGGATATTTTACAGTGCCTCCCAGAATCCTGAAGCGTTTCTGGGAAAATCAGACCTTTACCCTGACACTATCACTGCTTATAGTTCTTTTTAAAAATACTAAATTTGTGTTAACACTTTAAGCTATTGGTTTCAAACTGATTTTAGTAGTTCTTGAGCAACAAACTTGAGCAACTTCTCATGGGACACCACTCTGTTTGTTGTTGGTTGGCAGTAAAAGTAGTGCCCTTGGAGATGTAGCAAAGAGCTAAAACCAGAGTGAATATCGGTGCAACCTATGCTTGTTTCAGAGGGCTAGCCTGGCCTGTCAGACTCGTCCTGTTTAATTTTGCACAGAGAAAGAGTCTGGTAAAGCTGGGCGGACACTGTGCGACTTTTTCACTCGTAGCACTCAGCTTCAGCTCAAACTGTACGACTTCCTCGCAGAGCAGATCTCACGAGTCATGTGCTCACACTGTACGACCCAGTTCTCGGATGCGACCTGACTGCTCACACTGTACGTCTGGTAGCAACACGTCGGACCTAATATGCTAAAAATAGCTGTTTTTACACAACACGTCAGACTTTTTTTGTGTTGTTTTGCCTGTTGTCCTTCGGTAGTGCTGCAGGAGGACACACAGGGATTTATGGGGGTTGGATGAGGAAAACGAAATAAAGAAAGCAAATCTGTGTTTTGTTATCAGTTTAATTTGGCATGAACACGACAAACACGCTTTCTTGACAATCTTTGTGAGTAAAAAAAGTGTAAAAACAAAAACCAACAACATGTGTTTTTAGATAAATAGCGGGCGAGCGGTGTTGATGCATGATTGCGCATGCGCCGTGAGCTGTTCTGATACTTTTTGGGTCGCAGCTGCTCGCAGCGCCGCTTCAACAGTGCGATACCCTCACGAGGGACGAGCAAAATATTAAACACGCCAGAAGTTTGTGCGACCTCACGATTGCTGATCGGTAGCTGGTCACGCGGTGTTAATCGCCTCTCGTAACCCCCTGTACACTACACGACGCTCAGGGCGAAACTCGCCCCGATCTCGTGGATTCTCGCACGAGTGGAAAATCGGCTCAAAAAAGTGAAAAAGTCACATAGTGTACGCCCGGCTTTACTCAAAGGCAGAGAGGCACATGAGGGGCGGGACTAGCCAGCTCAAAAAGGGCGGGACTGGCCAGCTCAAAAACAACCAATCAGAAAAAAGGCGGAAATGCCGAATGCACCACAAGACACTGTAGTTTTTTAGCTGTAGTCAAAAATTGTGTATGGCAACAGCGCAAACATCTTTTTTTTCTTTTTTTTTTTTAGAAGAAAGGCTTCTAGCGCTTCCACTTGTGATTTTAAAGACATGTCCAAGTCATTTAGAACAGAGGAAAGAGCCGCAGCGAACTCCACTTCAGTCGCCATGTTCAACAAACTCGGCGTGTAATCAGTGCTGATTGGCTCAGTTAGAATTCCCAGGGGGTGGGGTTATTTGAATAGGAGAGTTCCCAGACCCCTTTCTCTGTGCAGAATTAAAAAGAGGAGGAGTCTGGCAGGCCAGGCTATCAGAGAGCTGAAGGAAGCTATAGAATCACAGATTGATGGTAATCTGGCTTGTTGCTGCTAGATTTGTAATAATATGTTTTGTGCAACAGTGTGGTTCTTTTTACTTTGTAGCTTTTTTAGTATCAGTTGGCTCGGGTTAGCTTGTTGTTAGCGTTAGCTGCAGCAGGCTGCTGTATGGTTGTGTACAACTGTTGTAGTTATGCTTTCAACCGGTAGGAAGGAGAAGCGGAAAACGTTTCTTTAAAGTGACAGTGTGTATCTTTCCTGGCAATAGGGGGCAGTAGATACCTAAATTGTTGCAAGCAAGCTGTATTTTTGTGTTGGGAGTAAGACCGTACCAACGGATGCCCATTAGGGTCAAAAAGCCCAGGGGAGCGCAAACTTTAGCAAAATAATGAGCACATCAGACTCCCTTTCATCACTGGCAACAAGTGAAAAGGTAAATGTGTAAAACAACAACATTTTAAAATGATGAAAGTGTTGTAATCCTTTGTTACAAATCAGTAAATGCATTTTGTCCTCATGGGCTCCCGTAGAAGGAAACATGGCATCTAATATGGCGTCTCCCAGAAACTTAGGGTCTTTCTCAATGCCAAGGAACCTCACCTTGATGTCTTGGCCCCGCCTCGGTTGCCTAGGAGATACGTCATCAGGAACCGCCAAGACTTGTTTCAATGTTCATGTTCTACCGAGGCGTGTGTTCTCCGTTAGTAGTTGCAGTTTCGGTGGCTAGCGGGTAGTAACTCACTTATATATTTAATTTAACAAATATGTAAACAATTTAAAAAGTAAAAGTCTCATTACATATTTATATTGAAACGTATACGTAGGAAATATAACATTATCTCCCGTATCACGTGACTTTACATGACCGCTGTGGAAGCCGCGGTCACGTGATGTAAGTTTGTTCCATTTAACACTTTTCTTTGACCAAGGAAGGACAGTGTGCTTGTAAGCAAGGCGCCTGGCCAGACGCCTTGACATTGAGAAACACCCTTAGATCTGTTCCCATGTTTTTCAGACCTGATTTTTATGGTTATATATTACAAAGCTGCCAATACTTTTCAACAACTAGGCATCATTTCACTCATTTCCAGCAACATTTTGATAGATATTTCCAGAAATTAATGGTTAAAAACTACACACTGTCTCTTTAAAGCAACTATTGGGTCAACTCGGAGTCTCACCTTGAGCGGAAACTAGTGAACAGGTGACTACATAAACAGCAACACTGAAGATCTGGGAAATTTGATTCAACTTATCTCAAAGTTGTACATATATATATATATATATATATATATATATATATATATATATATATATATATATATATATATATATATATATATATATATATATATATATATATATGTTGTGAGGTGGATGAAGAGCCAAGACTGCAGTGCTGCTTTTAGTAATAAATGCATGAAATCATCAAATTCACAGTCTAGCTGTAAAGTTAGCTTCTTATTTTACTCTGGTACCTTGTTCATCTCCTCCTCCAGATTGCAGTCAGTGATTTTAGGAGCCACCATGGCACCATACTCCCTGTACCACTGTCTGTAATCAGATATAGACACTGAAGTCGGATCTGTGGTGTTGAACCAAGGCCACCAGTGCTGGTTGGATCCATGAGACATCATGAGATTTAATTCGCCCACGTTCCTGCAAGAGATGGAAGAAAGGAAAGACAAGACTGTGAAGAGTGTTTCTCTCGAACACACTGATCACGTGTGATGCAACAATACACCTATTGATCAGACAAGTAAACATTCTTTAGTGAAATAGGCAGCTATTTAAGGCATAAGGAATTGGTTTATTGTTGCACACACACACACACACACACACACACACACACACACACACACACACACACACACACACACACACACACACACTTACTCAGCCACGCAGTGTAACGCAATGTTCTTGGCTCGGAAGCCGAGCACAACAAAAACCACCAGCGAGGCCAGCACAGACGTCATGAAGTTGATGCCGGAGACCAACAGCGCATCCCGGTGGCAGTTGTTGCTGACTGGATTGTAGGAGGAGTATGCGATCACAGAGCCATAGCCTAGACCTAGGGCAAAAAACACCTGCGTAGCTGCCTGCCGCCACACCTGTACGCTACCCCAGATCTCCAGCTGGAACAGACAAAAACATCAAATCTCACTGGGTTGGCTGAAATGACAAAACTTCTGAGAAATATCTTTGCTATTCACTGATTGTAATAAAAAAGTTTCACATCTAGCACGAACTGAATAATTCCAATTTTCCTTGAAAATACTTTAATAATCCCAGAGGGAAGTTGGATGTTGCTGTAACTATTTCTTTTTCTACTAAGATTCATGGAAGTTGGTTCCATTTGTGCAAGGAGCTTCTGGATTGGCGTAGAAGCCTCTGATAGGAGACTGAGTTAAGTTACTGCTTTGTGAACACGGTGCTCGGGATCTTCATTTGTCCAACCAGCTCTAGAGGTTCCAGAGTCAGCCTTCTCTATGATTTCAGTAATCTTTTTACACTCTCTGGCTTTGATGCCGCTACCCAAATGGGTGACCGCACTACACTGTCCAAAACAGACTTAGAGAAGAGACATGTAGAAAGATCTAAGCATCTTCAAGAAGTCCAGCTGTGTCCATTCTTGTATGCTTCACTGTTGAGTTTCCAGCAGGTGAACACAGGGGAAATCATATCTACAACTCCCTTCTGCTGCAAAGCCATAACCAAAAACCCTAGCCCCCAGTGTCCCCCTGCTTTTATGTCCATAGAATACACCTTAAAGCAGAAATCTGGAGGTTTTTTGCAGAGGACACCATCTAGAGGCAGAAAAAATGTATTGCCTCTCAAAGGTGTGGATTACTCGTAACATTTGCAGTGATCACTACTCACTAGTAGGAATTAATGCCTTGCAG